TATATATATATATATATATATATATATCCATGTAAAATTAACATGGATGGTGATATTATGTACATTTATTCCACCAGGGACGCCAGCGCATTACCTTCCTAGTACAGCTATTTTTTTTATTTAATTTTTAATTAATTTATTTTTTTGTTTTCTTTTTTTTGCTCGGCTCATTTTTTTTTATTAATTAAAAAAATAAATTAATAATATTTTTTATTTTATTACTATTTCATAATCAAATGAGCATTATGAGTCGTGCACTTTTGAATTTTCCAAACTTTTATTTCTCATACATAGACTCAACAGCTTACGCCAATACCAAGGTCACTTAATTATAATATAGAGTGACAAACTATGTACATTTTTATTTTAGTAACAGTAGAGTTATAGGTAAATATCGCTTTATACTTTATGTAGAGGTATACTTTTTTTTTCTTTATAAAAATCTGAAAAAAACTCAAAAATTTTTTTATAGATAATGCTCTTTTATTTTTTATAAATTCTATTTTGTTTTCAATGTATTCTTGGAAAAAATATAAATAAAAATCTGGACCTACAATGAAAAAAATCTATAAAACAGTTGATCCTGTCGTGTGTCCAAAAATTCCCACTTATTGAGCTCAAAACGTTGAAAAATATTCATGCTTGCAAGTAATTAAACTTTTTGAGCCCAGAAAAAAGTTTATAAGACATTTTTAAACTCTCTAAACGCAAAAACCAGGGAAATTTAAACTAATTTTATAGTTTTTATAATCAAAGATTTAATCTCAAAATTTTTTGCATAATTAAGCCGATTTCAATGTGACACGAAAAATTTATTTACAAACAAACAAGTAGCTTGTTCGAAAAAGTTTATCTGACAACAAATTTGAAACTTATTTTAAAGAAATACTTCTTTTGAAACTTCTAAACTGCGATATTTCTTGAACAAATCGAACGATTTAAAAGAGTGTTGCAGCATTAAACGCAGTTTATTTTCAAGACCCATAACTTACATTATTTATCACTAAAATAAGAAACAATATCCAACTCAATTACTATCAAATTACAATGACATTGACAATGATGATGATGATGACAATATGACCCTATGGTAGTTGAACCGACATAGCTGATTACTCATTAGCATACAGTCACCATCGTATTACATACCAACATGATCGAGTTGTTCCGTTTCCCGGTACGGCTACAAGTGAATGCCACAATACAATAAACGTGCAGCGTAAAACAAACGTCACCATACTGATCGAGTCATCAACTCATATGAACCAATAACACAACTAATATCCAGTGTGTATAGATACACATATGAATAATTGCAAATAATTCGACTGGCACGGAGTAAGGCGGCAAATTACGGACTAACTCGTCGCCTTTTCTATGCGCGTCAAATTTAAATATTAAATTTTCTTTTTATAATAAATTCATAGCATGTGCGACCGAATAACATAGATACTGTGGTTCGAAATTAAATAAAAGGGACGTGCCACTCCTCCGTCAGTCGCAGTTTGATCGTCGATTGCGTGCCATTGGACCGGACACAATCGACTAATTTATTTAATAATTTATTAATTACTATCAATTAATCAATAATTAGCAATTAAAAATGCGTTTTGTATCAGTGATAAGCATCTCCGTATTTTTACTGTCGATATGTGGATTATCATCAGCTTCGAGGCCAGATTTCATAACGAAATCGGTCAACCAGTGTATCGGAGCCGAATCATGGACCGGGTGTTTGAAACAGGAGGTCCTTGAGTATCTGGACGATAAGTTAGGCACCACGACCGAGGCGCGTTCTCTAGAATCCGTCGACGAGGCTTTAATCGTCAGAACTGCGAAATACTTGAAAAGTTTTGAATACGGTGTCAATCTGCCGTTTGTAGACGCGAAATTAAAGTACCGACCGGGAAGAAGTCTCGCCGATTTGGATATCGAGTTTCAAGATAATGAAGTAGCGACTTCTCAAGCACGTGGTTTGTTGAAGAAGAAATTGCTGCTGCCAATTTTGCTCCTTCTTAAGCTAAAGCTCAAGGCCTTGATGCCGATCTTTGTTGCTCTCATTGGACTCAAGGCTATGAAGGCTTTGATTTTATCTAAATTGGCGATTTTACTTGTCGTTGGATTTATTGCTGTTCAATTCTTCAAGAAAGGCGGTATGACACCTCCAATGGGTGAGTGTTTTTGGATTTTTTTTTATTTTTATAAAAATTTGTGATAGAGTTTTTATGATGAAGTAAAAATAAGTCTGGTTCATCAATATTGAAAACATTATGGGAGGTGTTACAATTCTCTAAACATGAATAAGTGAATATTCACTTATTTAAGTGAGAACCGAGCCACTGACTTGAAAAAGTGGCTCGATTGGCACTTAAGTTAAGTGAATATTCACTTATTTGACGAATTTTCACTAATTCAGTTTTAGGGAGATTGTTACAAAATTTATTTTTATATTTTAATACAATAGAATTATATTTTGCCGTAAAATTTGTGGAATAAGCAAAAAAATAATTTTCATTTACTTACTAATTTATCTTTATAATATTGATAATCTTGACACAAGTAAATTATTACATAAGCATAAATAATCATCCTTTACTTAGACTTTGGTGTGATTACTGAGATTATGAAAAATTTATTTTCGATTTTGACGATATCGTGACATATTTACTTTAATTAGATCTCTGTTGATAACATGCGATCAAATAGTACGTAGTACTTTACTCGACTCATAAATGGCGATGTCACGGAATCTATAGCTCATAACGTCATAATTAATCAAGAATCGAAGTGTTACAATTTCAGCTTGAAGACTTTGTTGTATTGAAAAAAATTTTTCAATGGAAAATAAATATCATTGAAAATTTAATAGAAATTAAAATATTTAATTTTTAACAAATCAAGAATCAAATTTAAGAAAAATACTTTTAATATTTAGAAAAAAGACATGTCTATTCATACGCCAAAAAAAGTCCTGATAAATCCACGCCGCGTAAATATAAGAGCCTTAATTCCACGCTGCGTGGATTTATCAGGATTTTTTTACGTGTGAATAGACACTTCTTTAGAAAAAATTCACGGGCATAAAAAAATTGGCTGTTCTATGCTCAAACTCAGAAACTGTAAAATTATTTTAGATCTATTGTTGTTCGGTATTGTTGCATTTTTATTATTTTAAATAAATAATCTGACTTATTTATCTTAAGAATCTTTTTTGTGTCAATCAAATTTTTTTATCAATTTAGAGCATAAACTTTTTTGTTATAAGGAAAAGCTTTTTTAATTGCACCATTTTTTTGGTTATAAACAAATTCTTAAAAGACAATTTCTCAATTACTATCATGGATTTGTTTAAGTAAAAACTTTTGATAGTTGAACAAAAATTTTGAAGATTCAGTCAAGAAAAAAAACATAATTTTTAAATCGACAAATATGGAGTTCGAATATTATTAATTTGTGTCTAGTTAATTTTTTTTTCTTTTTAATTGAATTACTATTCCTTAATCAATATAAAACTATAATTTTTGTAATTATTGTAATTGAATCAATTTTGGGTGAAATTTCTCGCTGAATAATAAAAAAAAAAATCTTAATAAAATTTTATAAATAAAAAACTTACAAAATTTGATGAATTTTTTTGTACCAAGGAATGACAATGGAGCCTGCACCAGCTGGATCCTACGGAGCGCCCCCAGCACCATCAACCACATCTGGATACGAACCAGTGAATACCTGGGACGGAAACGGTCCTTACTCACGTGTCTGGACGCCAAGCAATGGTGAAACAGCCCAAAATCTCGCTTACAATTACTACGCACCAAGTAGCAATAGCGGTAGCTCAAACTCTTACGGTGCCCCATTAAGCTCATCCTCGTCAGCATCCGCTAGTTCTAGCAGCAGTTCAACAAACTACTAAAGACTATAGAAATGAAAACAAATAACAAATTTAATAATCAAAATAAACAAATAAATATTTATTATATTTATGCTCGACTTCAGTTATTAAAAATCCGTCTCAGGATCGCTACAAATGACTTCGATTTAATTATTTAAGACATGCAAGCCGAAAGTAATTATAATTACTTATTCTACAATTATCAAGATTTAAATCAATGATTTTAATCCCAGCGTGTGTTTTTATTTAACTGATATTTATTTTATTAATAATCATAATTGTACAGATGACTCTTTGTTGTTATTATTATTATTATCATTAATTTTTTAATGAAGTATTCTAGTAGTTTTTTACATTCATTTTATTTGTAATATATGTTATATATTATTTTTATATGATGATGTAATTGATACAATGCACTCCACCGAAAATGGCACGAATTTTTTATTTTTTCATTCATTTATTTATTGTATTGTCAATAATAAAAAATAAAAATTATTATAAATACAAAAGTTTCTTGAAAAACAAATTTAATCGAATGAATTTACTTATTCTCTAAGTTTTCTAACACGTCGTTCCGTGAATATCAGGCTCAATATTTCGTCACAAATGCCAAAAAGGTGTATATCAATATGTATACGCTTTTGTGGCTTTACAAAGCCAAAAAGGTCCAATAAAATATTTTGTCCTTCATTTAACAGCCATATTCTAAGCCTAAACCCAAAATAGATATTTTCGATACATATGTGCGAAGTGAGGCATTCCTAGGGCTTAAAAATTGAGACACGAGTCTAAGAAACGGCGCGTTTGCAATGGGGCCTAGTAATACGCAGATTACCCCCACGAGCCGTTAGGCGAGTGGGGGTAAGCGTACTCAGTCTCATTGTAAACGTGTCGTTTCTTTTGGCGAGTGTCTCAATTAAGCCCTGTGAATGCCTCAGTTGGGACATATGTATCGAACAATATTTTTTGGAACGACTGCTTTCAAGGTTCAACAGAGAGAAATTATTATTTACAAAGAAATATTATAATTAGCTGAACTATATCAGTTACTAGTATACGTTGCGTGCGCAAGCGCGCGTGTGAATTTTTGGTATGGAATTATCTATATTTTCATGCTTACGATATATTTGACCAATCCAAATCACGTTACGAATAGTTTGCTTGCATGACATATTTTCATTATTTTCATATTTCTCATCTAAATTATAAGAGCTGTATAAGAGAATTGTATAGAATTGTATCTAATTGATCTATCCCCCGCACGGAAAAAAAAACTGTAGCAGCAACAAGTTAGGTCTGTAGCCTTTTAACCTTGAAAAACCACGTCGAACACCGCTACCCGGGTCGGAAAATTTAAACTGATTTTAAGCTAAATGATCTGCATTTGAAATTATTGATCTGGATTTGAACTTTTAAAAACATTTTCATCTGTATTTGATCTACTATTCAAATTATTTTTGATCTGTTTTAAGTCTAAATAACTTTTTAGTAAAATAATTGAGCAGCTATGAATATTTTATACTGTTTCTAATCTAATGAGACTAAAAAGTTTTAAAAGTTTGATCGGTTTTTAGTCTAGTTAATTTGTAGATGGACTTTATGTATTGTTTTCAAATTCAATATGAAATCCTATACTGATTTTGATCTACAATTTTCACTCTAAATGTTCGAAGGCCAAAAGTCGACTAAGATGGTGACTTATAATTTTTTGGACTTAAAAGTATCTCATTAAAAATTATAAGTCGCATTTATTTGAAAAAATAAATTCATTTATAATATATTCATGCGCTCTCTTGTTTTATGAACTGAACGTCGATTATAACCTTACATCTGTCATATTTATTTGTCATAGCTCAACATTTCATGGATTATAAAAGTTTTGTAACTGCGAATATTAGTTGCAGTGATAACTAATAAATTTGTATTAACATACGTATAGAAAATAGTTCTCATCGTTTTATTATGGATCTAAATCTAGAATTTTTTAATTATCGATATTAAACACAATGTGAATACACCGACAAGATTAAAATGCTGACAAGATGACAAGATTAATATTAAATTTAATACCTCCATGCATCATTTAATGAGCGGTATTCACTGTTTGGTAGTGCGAAGAATACCGTTTGGTATACATTGCACTACGAAATAGTGAATGGTCACTATTTCAGTTTCAGAGAATGAAAAGCCGTGCCCTGTAGAGGATCTTCGAGGACATGAATAAAATAATAATAAATAAGTATATTATTATTATTAATATTATTATTATCAAATTCGTAAAAGGTCGGTTTTTGATCTACAGGCGATGAAAAACCGACTAAAAATTATGGAACGTTTTGGTCTGTTTTTGACCTTGATGCGATCAAAACCAGCTGAATGATTGTGACAAAAAAGTCTGATTTTGGTCTTGAAACAATAGAAAGCAATTTTATTATAACATCAAAAATGATCTGAAATTGGTCTGAATTGGGAATAGTACGGGCAAAAACAGATTAAATTCTAATATAAAATAGAAACATATAATAAAATTAAATAGAATGAAAAATATTAAAAATTTTCATTAATCATAAAACAGATTAAATTTTTTGACCCGGGATATCGTATAAACGAAAGAAAACCGAAAAAAGTGTTTTTTCGGAATTACTTTTAATATCCTTGGTTCGATCAATTCAAACTTAAAGATTCTTTACGAGGCTTAAAAAACTGCGTCGAATGTCGCCAACCGCGTGAAAATTGGTTCATTCATTCAAAAATTATTGCGGTTTGAAAATTCAAAAATTAGTGTTTTATCAGACTTTTGAGCTCGAAGAGCTCAAAAACGTCATAAGTGCAATTTTAAGTGCCATCATATAGAATTAGCGGGAAATTACAGGGATGGCTTTCAGGGTCAATTTATTTTCTAATTTTTTTTTTAATCATTTTATAAATTAGCCTAGCACCGGATACGTGATGATCACTTTCAAGATCCAAACGACACTAACACTAATGACAATAATAATATAGATTGAGCCAATAATTAAATAAAAAAATAGCGTGAGATTTTGTTGATAAAATTGTTGTCGATGACGGAAGTCAGAGTAAAGATGTAATATAAAAGAGCGCTCACGGAATAAGAGGAACAGTCTACGGAGAAGTATTAAGGAAAATGAAACACTATTTCATTGTAAGTTTCATCCTCGGTGCACTTATCTATCAGGTAATTTTTTATTTTTTCAATTAAATGTAATAAAATATGCATAATAAAATTCAACGGTGAAGTTTTCCTGTTGCAGATAAGATGTGACTCGAATTTGATCACACGAAAACAATTTCGAGAAGTAAGGAAGCAATGTGTCGATGAAGTAGGATTGGGTCGAGTAATACAGAATAATTCTACGCGAATAAATAATTCTGCGGAGGTTGTTCACACAAGAAAATGCGTTCGGGCATGCGTTGCGAAGAAATTCGGCTTGGTATAAAAATTAGTTCAGACATTTTAATTTTATAAAATAGATTGTCGTAATTGTTCCATTGTTTTTTCCATGGTAAAAAGATCAACAGTGAAGGAAAATTCGACAAAGAGAAATTTCTAGAGAAATTGATTCCCAAAAAGGATATGCTATTTTACGAGAAAGTTTCTGAAGCTATAACTATCTGTACTGATCAACGTAAGTGTAGATATCAAATTTTTTGAGTATTGTATAAATTTTTTATTGTTATTTTTAATATTGCATGCCTTTCGCGCGAAGGTTATGCTCTACTAGCGCCGTATAATTAAAATTTTTCGATTTTGTTGTCATGAATCGGGTGTCTGAATTTAATAATAATTATATCAATTACACAAATATGAAGATGAATAATTAATCATCAAATTTAAAATAATTTTTAATCAATTAATTAAAATATTCAATTGAAAAAATTATTTCTAAATGCCATATGGAGTAGAATTTTTAAGAACTCAAGAGTACGATAAATATAAATAATTGTCAGTAAGATAATATTAACAGTAAGCGAGTACCCACGAAAAAATTTGAACATAGTTTAAAATTAATTTCTTATAACACATTTGTAATTGACGTAATATTAGAATTATTCTTTTAACTCATTCTTTTAGTGTACAGTAGATAATTGTTTTTTTTTTCTGCTAACATTTAACCTAAAATTATAAAAAAATGGAAAGTAACATGAAGGTTATTAGTGAAAGCTAATATATTTAAACTTTACTTTGATCAATTTATGTTAAACATAAGCGCTTTAGGCATGCCCATATCGATTTACCAATTTTTTTAAATTTATTCCTTGGAATTTTGCAGAAGGGAATGATATTTGTGAAACTCACTACCTCGTAATGGAATGCATGAAAGTAAGTTAAATATGTTCAACTAATAAAATTTTTTATTTTTAAAAGGTTGATTTGAATTTTTATTCTTCTTTTTACGAGTGTGAAAAATGGTGTTTTTAAAATTTTTACAGGGGTTCCGTCCATTTCCTCGAATGAGAATGAACGATATCTAAATATCATGATGATTTTACAACGAAGACATCGATTTCTAAAGAAACTGACCCTAGTATTTCAATGTAATTGATAAAAAGAGGGACAGTACAATTTTAATGAAATTCAAGTGAAACTAATAACTCAAAATAGTGGTGGATTTTTCCGTATACTCTCAACTCTTCCAATAGTTAAAATTTATTGTTTTATTTCATAATAAAAAAGCACTAATCATAAAATTTGTAATTGTGATTTATTCAATAAACGAAGATACTGTCATAGAATATATTTTATGTACTTTGGGCGAGCCACGCGCCAATAAGGTCGAGGTGATAAGTATTTTCAGCAGGGATAGTATAAAGCCGAGGCTCAATAGGGCCGAGGCTTTATATCCCGGCTGCAAATAATTATCGCCGAGACCGTATTTGCGCGAGACTTGCCCATGGTGCTTAAAAAATTTTTCGTCCTATGGCGGACGTACGCGGGTTTTTACGTGCAGGGGATACTCAATTTATAAATAAATAGCGTACGACGCCATAACCCTCTAATCCTCTAAATAAAAATACATGAAAGTCTTAAAGTTAGCCAAAAGGTGCGCTTTTTAATTAAAAATGACAGTTGAAACGTAAGCTACTCGGCTGTATAGAGATTGGTGACGCTTGCGTGACATTGTCCTCGACTGTATAAAGTTCTATACAGCCCAGTAGATACTGGCGCGTACGCGTATTATTTACAAATTGAGTGTCGTCTGCACGTAAAAACCTCCATACGTCCGCCTAGGACGAAAATAACTATTAAGCACCATGGACAAGGGAACCAATTAAGGTGGCACTATAGTAGCAAGTGGAAGAATTTTAAAAAGAGCGCCAGAAATTATTAGAGTAGGATACTAAATTAAATAAAGAAAGTAAGATTTCCGCTTTATTACAGCGCATTTTTTTAAATTACTACAATATATAGACAAACATGAGTATGGAATAAAATTATAGTGTTTCTAAGTATCCCAATTATTTGTAAATAACAAATAGAAAATAGTATTAAAGTATTACCGAAATTTAGAAAAAAACAATTAAAATTGTAACAAGAAATTCTCAATCATTTAGGCAATCGCGTACTGAAAAAATGTTATAGAGGTTTCATAATTATTATCTAAATGTAGAAGTTACCAAAACGGGTCTAAAAGGCGATCAATAAATATTTATTATTAACAGTACGATATATTAAAATATAAATCAAGAAATAAAAATTTATATTTTGAACCATATAACATAAATTTTTTTTTTAATAAATAGTCATACGTTTAAGAAAGTAATTTGGCGTTTTATCGGTACATTTTGGTTTTCGTTTTAGCTGCGTCATAGCGTTTATTTTCTGATATAGCTAAAAAATGAGCACGCATCACTATATAAACATCGATTATTTTCATAGTTAGTTTTCTTTCATGCTTAAAGCATCCAACTTTTAAGATTGCAGGGGAAACTCAATTTGTAAATAAATAGCGTACGATGCCATAACCCTCCAAATCAAAATACATGAAAGTCTTGAAGTTAGTCAAAGGTGCACTTTTTAATTTAAAATGACAGTTGAAACGCAAGCTACTTGGCTGTATAGAGATTGGTGACGCTTGCGTGACATTGTCCTCGACTGTATAAAGTTCTATACAGCCCAGTAGATACTGGCGTTATTTACAAATTGAGTGTCGTCTGCACGTAAAAACCTCCATACGTCCGCCTAGGACGAAAATAACTATTAAGCACCATGGACAAGCCACACGAAAATACGGTCTCGGCGATAATTATTTGCAACAGGGATATAAAGCCTCGGCCCTATCAGACCTCGGCTTTATACTATCCCTGCTGAAAATACTTATCACCTCGACCGTATTGGCGCGTGACTCGCCCAAGGTACATAAATAACTAGGGTCGATTCCCCGATGCAGACATATTAATAGGCATATTAGTACAACAAAAATCATAAACGGACATATTAGATCATTTCAAGTTATGTATTGTCATAAAATTGCATGCACAACTAATGCGAAGCATCAGAGAGTGCTTTACGATCAAAAAATTTTTTTCGCCTCCCCGTGTAAAAAAAAATCGTCTTAAAATTGTCTTAAAATTGTCGTTCGTTTAAAATCTTAAACGTGACACAAACTAAGACTATTTTAAGATTCTTTTAAGATGCCAAAAAAAAAAGTTCCGAGATTTTTAATAATTATTTTGAACGACCAGATTTCGTTCAAACTTTGTAGATTTATCGAGGACCGATGACAATACAATAATTTGATAAAATTATTCCATTTTTCAATTTGTAAAATATGATTTTTGTTAATTTATATAATTGCACGCCTCATAGCGCGAAGCGCGTGAGGTTGTGCTTTATACTCGACTTGTTACCCGTGTAAAAAAAAAATCGTTTTAAAATTGTCGTTCGTTTAAGATCTTAAATGTGACACAAATTAAGACTATTTTAAGATTCTTTTAAGATGCCAAAAAAAAAATTCCGAGATTTTTTAATAATTATTTTGATTTTTTTAAGACTATTTTGAGATTTTTTCAAGACGATTTTAAGATTTTTTTGAGACTATTTTAAGATTTAAGTTTTAAAATAATTTTTATATAGTCTTGAAAAATCTTAAAGTAGTCTTAAAGAAATCTGAAAAAAAAATGTTAAAAAATTTTTAGGCTATTTTCAGATGACATCACAGTGACAGCTCCGGAAAGTTATTATGGAGCGTCTTTAAATTGTCTTAAAATTATCTTAAATTATTCTTAAAAAACAATTTAGACTATTTTAAGATGGGCTAACAGTGACAGAGCCCCCGGAAAATTAAAACGGAACGTCTTAAAAAAGTCTTAAAATTGTCAGATAATAATTTTTTAACAATTTTAAATTCAATTTAAAAACATCTTACTCAAAAATATTGCGGTTAGAAAGTCGTAAAATCATCTAAAAATTAATTTTCACAACAAATTCGAGAACAAAATTTTCAAAAATCTGCTCTCGGAATTTTTCTTTTGGCGTCTTAAATGAGTCTTAAAATAGTCTTAGTTTGTGTCACGTTTAAGATCTTAAACGAACGACAATTTTAAGACAATTTTAAGACGATTTTGTTTTACACGGGTCATTCCGGCAAATATTTACATATTCCTACCCTTGTCAGTTCATGGAATCAAAATATTTTGCATACTATTGAAAAGATATTTTAATGGAGATTAATTCCATGCCTGTCAAAAATTTATTTAGTGCGTTAAAAACAGAAAAAAATACACGGAGAAAATTTTACAGTAGAGTTTATTATCTAGTTACACGGAAAGAAAATTATGGGAACTATTCCTATACCATTATAGGAATGGTTCCCATAATGCTATAGGAATAATTCCTATACTATTATAGAAACTATTCCTATATCATTATGGGAACTAATCCCATAATATTATGGGAACTATTCCTATAATATTATAGGAATGGTTTCCATAATTTATGGGAACCATTACCATAGTAGTATAGGAATGGTTCCCACAACATATAGGTTTGAATCCTCCATGGAAAAAAACAAAATTGGGGCTGCCGCATGATACATTCCTGTGGAAGAGACATGACTTTCATATGACAGCAACATGATTGTCATGTGGCAGGCAATAATAGTTAAAACAACAATAATGATTAAATAATAATCATAATAATAATAATTTATATTATTAAGAGAATAAGAACAATTTTGTCTCCTGGATAGTCACATGATGAAATCAATTTTTTTTTTTAGTCAAATTTAGTGTCATTGCAAAGGACTTGACATGAATTTGTGCCTTTTCTAGGTTTTATATCATTCTCGTCGATAGTCAATTTATGATGATAGTCAATTTGTAATAGATATTTAGATTGCATTCGAAAATGCTCTATCTCTAAACATATAATTGAGAAATGACCTTGTATCTTGTGAACTATTGACATTTTTAAAGATATAAGCTCACCCCGATGTTAGGCGACTGCTTGGCCGAGCGGTTTAAGTCTTAAACTGCCGCACAGAAGTCGCTCAGACGTGGGTTCGAGCCCTGGCAATTGCAATTTTTCTTCTGCGTTTTCCGGGGCTTGCTCCCTTGCCGACTGTACCTTGGCCAGGTTTCTGTGGTTTTTCCTCGGTCATTGTGCCCCTAAAATAAGCGGGGCACAGGCGAATGCGGGTACAGACTGTAAGCCGGCCACAGCCGCAAAAACGGAGGGTCCTGTTACAGGACTATATAGGAGGAATAGCTACAGGAGGAAATAGCTACAGGAGGAAAATAGCTACAGGAGGAAATAGCTACAGGAGTAGTTTGGAGGGGGCCTGGTACTGCGAAGTAATGCTAACGCGGTCCCGCAGTATCAGGTACAAGAGAGGGGAGGGTTTTAGTGAGTAAGAATCTCACACTACCGGCAACCAATATCTCCAACATCTAGCCGGTGTCTTATGAAGATTTCCCTCCTCTCGCCCAAAAAAAAAAAAAAAAAAAAGCTCACCCCGATGTTACACTCATCAAGACCTTTCATTTGAGTACCCACATCAATTTTTCATATATTTTATATATTTATATATATGTATATATGAAAAATGTATCAAAAAAGCATATGGGTACTCAAATGAAAGCTCTTGATGAGTGTAACATCGGAATGAGCTTATATCTTCAAAAATGTCAATAGTTTACTAGATACAAGGTCATTTTTTCATTATGTATCTAACCACAGAGCATTTTCGAATGCAGCCTAAATTTTTACTATAATAAATTGACTATTGGTGAGAATGATATGAAACCTTGAAAAGGCACAACTCCAAGCAAGAACCCATTTTATCACATAAATACACTGGCCACAAAATTTTCCTTATTCTCTTAATAATATAGATTATTATTATTATGATTATTATCATTATTATTTAATGATTATTGTTGTTTTAACTATTATTGCCTACAACATGAAAATCATGTGGCTGCCCCAATTTTTTTTTTCCGTGTATATATTATAGAAATCATTTCAAACTCACTCCGCACGAAGATTTTATCTTTATTTCATTTTGAGAATGATTCCCATAATGGTATAGGAATCATTCCTATAATATTATAGGAACCTATAATATTATAGGAATCTTTCCTATACCATTATGGAAATAGTTCCCATAATAATATAGGAACCATTACTATATCATTATGGGAATATTTCCCATTATTATTTTAATTAGTTACTACTATTATCAAAATCGTAATTCCTAATATAACCTGATGGTTGTAGTTACCATCAGTAATAATAATAACTACTATCTAAGCTAGTAAAAAATATTAAAAAAATTAAGGATCTGCGTTACCGTGGATGCATTTCTTTTTGAAAAAAAAATTTTAATATCCAAAAAATTCAAAATTTTCAATAAAATTCGAATTTCAAAAAAAAATTTTAAATCTTCAAAAAAATCGAATTTTCAAAAAAAAAAATTTGAAGGGAATTCAAAATATTTTAATATTTCAACGAAAAAAATGTACATCACCACATTCTATTATTTTTTCTTTCAGAATTATTACAATCTGAGATGGTTACAGTTACCATCTTCGATTGTAACAGTTATAATTTATAATAATTACAATTATTATTTTTGATAGTAATCGTTACAATTATTAAAAGTAACTATTAAAATTGTCAATGATACTACCTATTATTTTGTTACTAATTAATTTTATTAACATTTTAGATAGTAGGAGTTACTATTTTTGTATAGTAGGTAGTATAATTAATTTTTCTCCGTGTATCTAACTAGTTTAAAAAATTTTCCCAATTTTCGTCCATCAAGTATGAAACCCGTAAACACTAACTTGCGAAAAATTCATTAATTGAGTCAAAATTTTTTTTTTTCTTAATTTTTTGAAGGAATTGTAGGTCCCCTATTGCAAATGGCTATGTCACTAAGTGTCATTTAATTGCAATTAATAACATGAAAAAACCAAAAGACTGTATATCTATGGCGGGTTGGGGGGGGGGGGGCAAAACGACGTACTTAGGGAAATCTTATTGGAGACTAAAATACGATGAATCTTATTTTTTGGAGTTGTTTTCGAAGTATTAAAAATTTATAGTTACCGCCAAAAAATTTGTATACTGTTTTAAAGACAAAATAGGGTACCCCCTGAAGCAATGAAAAAAATTAGGAAAATGGTTGACCTTGAAGGCTATCCCTGCAACTTCCCGCTACTTTCATAATGAAGCACCCAAAATTGCACTTATTACAACGTTAAAAATTTCTATTGTAATTTTACATGAAATGTATTGGAAGCTAATAGGCAAAACATTTATTTAAAATTACAATCGGGTATAGTAATATTACAAAACATATATAGCTCAGTGAGGTTACTAACTTTACAAAACGGTTTTATAATTTTACAAATATTTTTAGATTAGCTAAGTATGTAAAATTACAATACTTTCTTTGAATTTTACTTGAATTGAAATAATAAAAATTGGTTGTCTGTAAAGTCGGTTTACGGACGATAGTTTTACGTGATAACGTCATAAAGAAACATTGCAATTAAAATTAATATAATTTCGATTAAAATTAGAATAAAAAAAACTTAAAATTTGAATTTTAAATTATAATAATTTTTTAGAATATTAATATACCTAAATAGTAAGATAAATTTTAGCCAATCTGTTTCTTTATTTTGCGGGCTGTATGCTAGCATAAAATGTCTGCTTGATGACAGCGTATTTTGCCACGCAGATCATGCTTACACTTTGCTTGTAATATTCCGCCACCGTTGCACGAGCATGAAATGTAGGCACAACGGCAGCAGGCTATGCTGAACAAACTTATACCTGCATTTTGCTAGCAAATGCGGCCGCAGATGCCTACGGTATTGCCAGCACATCTTGCCAGCATGTTTGGCTATCTGGGTGATGAAAAATTGCATACTTTTTTGGATCGAATCGAATTATTATCACTGAATTATCATTATGTTGTATTTCAAAATTTCAAAATTTTGAATATTTAAAAATTATTTTAACAAAAAAAAGGACTTATTGATAAATTGTTAATCAAAAACTGATACAATAATTTGATAATTGATATGATTATTATTATTTATAAATAATATTAGTTATTTTATTAATTTATTAATTTATCGTTTACAATTATTATTAATTTATTTATTCATAATTGATATTCTTTATCAACAATTATTAATATAATCAACAATAATAATCTGATATAATTGATATAATTTGTTTAAATATAATCACGAACAATTAGTTATAGAACAATATTCTGACTGCTAGCTCTGACGTTACGCGAAAAGAGAGATATATAATTTATACAAAGATGGCCGCACTGAGTGGACGAGCGTAAGAGTGTGTCTCCAGTTTTTACCACTCTATTATTCACCTAGTAAGTCATTAATTAAGTAGAGTGTTTGCAATTGGGTATAAAAATATTTAGAGCGTTGTGTGATATAGGAATGTGTCATAAATATCTTTATTGGTGCCAATTTTTCCTTTTTCTCTGGTGACTCTCAGAGCTAACCTCCAATATTGAGGCATTAATATTATTATTATTATTATTATTCGCAGTAATAAGACATATCTGGACAATTTTTAGTAGTGTTTGCTGACCCCTAACGGCGTAAATATATATTGTAATGGATAAGTGTAATGCATCATTTACCGACTGTGAGGTGGATGTGTCGTGCAGGGCTTGTAATGTACCTATATTATACAAATCTGTCAACTGCCCAAAATGCCTGAGTTGTTTTCATAAGGCATGTGTAAATGCTGAAGCGCTAACAAAGAGTGGCGGATTCACGAGATGCTGTGGACCAGGTCGTGGTAAATCAACAAACTCAGGTGGAACATTTCAGTTTACACTTGAGGACATTCAGAAAACATTCAGGGATGAAATTATGCCATTAGCCCGGCGGCTTGATAATGTTGAAATACGGTTTGACAATTTGGATACGTATTTGAAAAATTTCTCCACAAAGGGTATTAATGAGCATAGTGCAATTGTTGATCTTAAACAGAAAGTTGACAGTATCGTATCAACAACCTCTGGGGCCTCATCTATGTCAGGGGCGCCTCATAATTTATTGAAAGAATTTGATGACAGACTATGCCGGCGTTCTAATCTCATGGTATATGGCTTTCCTGAGGGTGAATCTTCGGGATCTGAAGATGGTAACCTCCATGTCAAGATCACTGATTGTTTGTCGAAACTATTGAACAAACCATTAGCTAAAACAAAAATTAAATTTAAATGTATCCACGTGGGTAAATTCTTGATGAATAGTACGACCCCACGTCCGATTAAAATAATCTTTAGTGATCCTGACTCGGCTGAAACTATACTTCAAACATTTATCAGATCCAAAGTCCACAAGGAGCTACCAGGAACCTTACAACAACTAGTAATTGCTCGGGACCAGACACCGGCGCAGAGGCAGGAATATCTGGCCCTGAAGGAAGAGATGAAGCGGCGTACTTCAGCGGGTGAATTGTAAAAATAATAAAAGGCTTTTTAAATTTGTTATGAGATTATTGGAATATAAATTACAATATTTTTTTGTGATTTTACATACAATTATGCCAAATCAGATCATAAATAATGTTTGCAAAATTAAAAAGCTTTTTCTTAAAAATTGATGAACGTTTCTGTAACATTGCAATGCGTGTTAGGTTTATACATGAAGTTTGTAAAATTACAATGTCACGGTATAAATTACAATGTGCAATTACAATTTTCCACGACTAATTGATTCCTAAAATTTTACTAAATTATATGCATTGATTTTTCTATCATCATGTATTTTCTTTATATTCTTTTACTTTTATTTTTTTGTAAATTATTGAAGGATATTACTGTATATTCCTTTTGCCATTCGGTAATATTACCTTTGGCATAATAATAAACATATATGTATATATAATTAAATGAGCATTATGAGTCGTGCATTTTTGGATTTTCCAAACTTTTTTTTCTAATATAGCCATAGTAATTCCATTTACATACAAATTGGTAGTAATAAAAAATTAACGCACGTTTTATATTAAGTACTACAAAAACTAGCTATTGATAAATTTACTTCGCTGTTGATAATAAATAATAAAGCAATATAGTTTTTTTTTTAACTCTTATAAAATGACGCAAGAATAATATTCATCCGTTCTTGAGATCATTATGATTGATATCACAGACTACATATCGCTGTAATTATTATTAATTTTAGCTTATAAATATCCTGACTTTCGTTCCAATCTCAGCAAGATTAAAGATCGCATCGCAGTACCTCAACAACATTGTTTATAGATAAATGTTCTGCTTTGTTGTGATCTTTACTCAGAAATAGACAAGTGTGATATTATTCATTTGAAAAAATAACTATTTTCTGCCGATAGCGTTTATTTATTAGTTTATTATTTTTTAATTTTCATACAACATTGTTGATTGTAACATTATAACAATTAATATCATCATTATTATTATCTTTTCATTCCATAATCTTCATTTCGGTTAATTGTCGGGATCGCAAGCCATCTTAAACAATTTCCAAGTTCCCAGAAACACTTAATTTCCAGTATTCAAGAGTAACGGAAGTGGTATCTGCACAACAATGTATGATGTATAATAAAGATTATTCATTATTGTGTCAGTCTTGTTATTTGATTCTCATTACATATGATATATTATTATATTGATGGGCTTACCCTATTATCACGCAGACATTTGACACCGAGATAAGCTGTCTCGCAGTCGTCGGATCCCTCTGTAATTACAATATTTTTTAAGTATTGAATTTTTCTCCCAATGGATCACTTTTAGTGAGCTCCCACGGAAAAAATACATATGATTAACATTTATGAAAGTATTTAAAAATTTTAATCCAACATAAATAAAAACATTGAATTACTTATATCTGTTTCCGGCAAAAATACACAGTAAAAAATTTTACGTCATTGAGTCAAAAATTTATGACTTAAATATTTAACACTTTTTTTATGTTGACTTAAGAGAATGAGTGTAAATTTACAGATAAAACTGTTAAATATTCAATATAAAAATTTTTAACACAAAATTTTATGACGCAATAACGCAAAATTCTTAACTGTGTAGATATATATGTGGATATAAATTTTTTTTATGTTTGCTTGAATGCTAAACATATATTTTTGCTGTGGGGAAAGCTATAATTATGTCAGAAAGTAACTAAGTAACTAAATAATTGTGTTATAACTTACTCTCGTCACTGCATTTTGCCAACAGTTCTACAACCTTATCACGATTTGGAAAATCATCCGGAAGCGTCTCGAAAATTTTGTCTTTGTTGAACTTTCCGTGAACAAGCTAAAAAAAAAACTTTTAATCAAGTAATTGTATCATATTTTCATGTGATTGATTGATTAAAAAAAACAAAAGTATACAAACAACATCATCTTCTCTAGCTATGCAAGCAACGAAACATTTTATTTTTTTATTAGGTTCTTCCCCATGACTGAATATATCCTTTATAGGCATTTCATTGAGTTGTGTTTCTGAGGCACATCTCTTTGCAGTTTCTAAACCCCTTGCTTCCACATTGCCTCCGAGTAGCTAAATTGTAAAGAACAAATGTTAATAACAAAATACATTAAATATGACGTATAATCGTTTAAAAACTAATTTATCAAATTAATATTCAAAATTTATGGATATCATATATTTTTAAAAATACTTACGCCTACAGCCAGAACACAAGCAATTAGTACCACAGTAGCCACACGCATTGTTGTGGAAAATATACAATGTTTGTATAAAGTACGATTAGAAAAATGATGTTCGAACTGTGAAACAATTTGCCTTATATACCCAATGCACAATAATTACCTCTTATGACTTGACATTAATTGTAATTGATATGTACGATATCCTATTATTATGTTATTATGTTCTTCTTGTAAATTTTTTTGAACTGTTCTCGATCATTTTTTTCATCAATACATAGAAAATTGTTCTTACAAATGTGATTTTATTAATTTGACCTCGTTGATTATGTCGTTATATTTTTATGTCGCAAAGATCGATACTTAAGAATTTAAATAATTTATAATTCTTCTTAATACGAGTATTTAGAATCACCTCGGTAATGTCAGAAAGACAAAAAGATTTAACAATGATAATAAACGAAATGTATCGGGGAATTCAAAATTCGTATGCACGATTTCGATACAAAAAAAAACTAAACTGATCAATTTTCGGCAATAACATTTTTATTTCTTAAAAAAAAAAAAAAAAATTAGTAAAACGGTTCACCCTAAAGGCCATTCCTGCAACTTCCCGCTAATTCCATACCTGGGCGCTTAAAATTGTACTTATGACGTTTTTGAGATTTTTGAGCTCAAAATATAATTTATGTGATATTTCGAGCTCGCTGAGCTCAAAGAGATAGTATTTCTATGCATTTGAGCTCTTCGAGCTCAAAAGTCTGATAGCAGTTTCATAGAATACTACTTTTGGAATTTTCAAACCGCAATAACTTTTGAATGGATCAATCGATTTTCACGCGGTTGGCGACATTCGACGCAGCTTTATCAGCCTCACTAAGAATTTTCAGGTTTTAATTGATCGAACCAAAAATTTCGGAGTAATTTCGAAAAAATACTTTTTTCGGTTTTCTTTCGTTCACGATATCTCTCGAACGAATTAACCGATTTCAACCAGCTTGGTGGCGATCGACGTGGTTGTTTATTGTCTAGAGCTGATTAGTTTTTGGAATCGATCGATGGAGCCGTTTAAAAGTTATTCCAAAAAAACCATTTTTGAAAAAATTTTTTTTTACAGTTTTTTTTAGATTTTTCGAAATCTATCGGTCCGAATCGATCCAAATTGTATTCAAAATCTAAGTTTGAACAAGCCCTTGCGAATGGCGCCAACCACGATCGAATCGCTTGAGCCATTCAAAAGTTACAGAAGGTTTACATACTGTAACGTGGCTGGTCTCGACTGTTCGTAGAGTGAAATAAATTTTGCATTCGAAAATAAATTATCTAAATTTATATTTAATAATTGAATACGAAATGGGTCGAAAAGACACGCTCGTTACACCCGGAGTGTAACCAACTCGAAGCCGTAGCTTATAAGAGTCGATGCTGCCCCAGATGCCTGTAGCTTTAGAGTTTACGGTGGACTAAGCCGATAGCTTTCAAAGCTACAAATAGCTAAATTGATTTAATTCGCGTTAGGAATATGGTCTAGGGCAAATCGTGGGTGGTGATACTCGTTGAAAAGTGGGTTCAGCTCCGACACAAAACCAACCTCTACCGCGTACTGCTCCGCTGATCGCTTAGTTGGAAAAAATAGAGCTAAATGATCGTCAAATACAAATATTGAAAAATACAGCTCAAAGTAAATTCAATACCACGTCCAACTCTTACCAATATACCACCTGACTTACAACAGGTACTACTACTTCGGTGTGCTATGACGTTGTCCAGCGGTGGTAGATTCCTCGTGGCTGCAGCTGGGCCGGTTACTGGATCAGGAACAGACGATTGAATCGAGGTGACCGACAAACCAGGATCTTCCTCGAACAATGAAACAACGCTTTCCTCAACAAAATGGCTGACTACTCCAGACCTTTTAAACAGCAAGGGGAACACGTCAATGCCAAAGCGTCAGTAGTGAGGGCAAGTCTCGCACGATTGATGCCTAACGTCGAAGGCCCAAAGCAGAGCAAGAGACTATTGTTGGCAACTGTAGTCACATCAGTCGACTGGATATTCCTTACGTACGGAATATCAATTTGGGCCGATGCGCTAGAATTACAAGAAGCATGGAGAAAGGCTGGGCCAGTATACCGTCTGAGTGCCCTAAGAGTAGCTTGCGCCTTCCGCACAATATCTGAGGAAGCAGTGTGCGTCATTTCTGGAACCTTTACCAACGAAAGAGGTCAACAACACTGAGCGCGGAAAAACTCAGAACGGAACAAAGACAGCACAGCATCGCACGATGGCAATCTCAGTGGAATGCCGCAGAGAACGGTAGATGGACGCATCGTCTCATACCAAAAATCGACATTTGGTTGAACCGGAATCACGGTGAGGTCAACTACTACCTTACGCAGATGTTGTTAGGACATGGCTGCTTTCGGGCTTATCTTCACCGCTTTAGGCATGACGATTCTCCGGAGTACCCGTCTTGCCCCGGAACCACTGAAGATGCAGAGCACGTTTTTTTCGAGTGCTCGCGTTTTAATCCACAACGTGACGAGCTGGAAAAGATCCTGAAGAAGAGAATTCAACCAGAGTCAATCGTAGAAGCAATGCTGTCTTCAGAAGTTGCCTGGAATGCAACGAACACTTTTGCCACAGAAGTGCTTACAGAGCTGCGTTCTACTGAGAGAAAAAAAGCAGAAGACAGAATCTAGAAGGAAGGTAGAAATCACACCTTAGCCACCAGAAGGAAGAGCGGCAGCTAAATCTTCTCCCCGCGAAGTAATACCTTAAGGTCGTACCGTAGGGAATTAGAAGAAAGAAGGAAAAGGGGTTTAGGGTTTAGTGGGTAGGGGCGTTAGCGTCGAGTTTTAGTATGACGCTGCCTCGAGTCGCCACATATCCAGGCCAAACAACTATGCTTAGAATCCGTAAAAAGGATTCCCCCCCCCTAAGGGAAAAAAAACACACACACTCTCTCTGTCTCACACACACACACACCACACACACACACACACACACACACACACACACACACACACACACACACACACACACACACACACACACACACACACACACACACACACACACACACACACACACACACACACACACACACACACACACACACACACACACACACACA